TAAAGTCCTCAAAGGCTTTTTATTACCTAAGGAGAAAATGTGGTCCTACTAGGAGAAACACAATTGCAAAATAAATCCAAACAAGGTATGTTGAGAAACTCAAAAACAAAATGAGCTGACCCAAAAGGAAGCCCAAGATTTGGGATGGGGGGAGCTTGTCCTCTCCATTGATGGACAGATACCTGGGTTGAACATTCCATCTTTTGCTCAATGATGTTACTCCTAACATGGCATTTTATGCCCACAGCTCACCTGCCAAATCTACCTCTCCAAGAGTCTCTCTCACTAGCGCCTTTTCAGCTTCTTTTCTTCTCTTTTTTTCTCCAGGCCACTTCCCCTTAGACAGAAATGCTCATTTCTTCCAATTTTAACATATTCAAGTTATATCTACTTTTGGCATCCAGCTCAAATAGGAACCATTCACAAGTCCACTCCCACCAACTTACAGTGTTCATGTTCTATACTGTAGCAGAGAAATTTATGTATCCTTCCTTGAAACTAAACTATCCTCCTTAAAACTAAATATCTCAGAGTGTTCAATAAATATTTCATGAAAAAATGAAATTCTTCCTCTTATAACATTGGCCACCATAGGCCCTTATTGATATTCCATTTATTCAAAAAGCCAAAAGCCATGTTACAAGGGACAATTCTGCACACATGGCCTTAACTCAAACCCAACGGTACATACTCATTTGGGGGCAACCAGCTGCACCATGGTATAGTACATAAAACTGATTCACTTCCATCTTACAATGGGGGCTTAACATTTCTCACTGTGTACAGAAGAAGAAACTGGTCACAGGAGAAGAGAACACAGCTGTGGGGACCACACTTGCATCTTTGTTTTCAGTCAGTGTTTGATGGCATTTTTGGAAATGTTAATTCAGGGCCAACACATCACCATTCCTGGCAATACAAAAATTATTCCCAGAAGCACTTCCTGGACTCTTATTTCAAACCCTGGCCCTTCACACCATCGGGCCAACAAAAAAGATCTACTCAAAGGTTCCAATAATGTAGACAACAAAAACACTCAGCTCTAGCATAAAATTAAAGAGCTGAGCTTGCAGAGTAGGCCACATGAAAGACACCCATAATCCAGGGAAGCCTGTTCCTGAAAACAAAGCACGCTTCTTGCAACTCACACCTCCCCTAAAAAGTCATGATTTACTGCTCCTGGAAGCCAAGCCTATTCGGACTTAGTCACCTAACACCACACAGCTACCTCTTGTCTCTGTTTACTTGTTGTGGATATTAAGCTAAGAATTTTCTGAAACCAGTCCTGCAGAGGGAAGGGAAAAATAACCCATAAATCTTTACTAAATGCTGTACATGACCACTGTCTTATTTTATTTTTTTATTGATCTTAGAGAGAGAGAGAAACATCAATGGGAGAGAGTAACATCAATCAGCAATCAGTTGCCTCCCACACGTGCCCCGACCGGGGATCTAACCCACACCGACAGAAATGCCCTGACCGGGAACTGAACCCGTCACCTTTCAGTGTACAGGACAATGCTCCAGCTCACTGAGCCACACCTTCCAGGCCCGAGCGCTGTCTTATTGTCATGGCATGATTCATAAAATGCTACATTATAATGGTACATTATCTGTAAATTCACAATGAATACATTTGAACTAGGTGATCATTAAAAATGAAGACATATATATGTATGTGTGATAAGTGTGTATATGATAAAATATTTAAATATAGATAATCAAAAATAGCAAATTAGTCCCCAAGCCTAATTAGAGTTGGAAAAAGTGTAAGATAAATTGTGCATCTACAATCTGTTTTCCAAACTACACTGCATTTATTCTGAGCAAGTGATCATACGATCCTGGGTTTCTCAGCTTAGCAACTGTGGTGACACCACACCTTCATTTACACACTGACGTGAGGAATGGGAGGAAATCCAGCGCGAATTCCAAGTGTCAATTTTCCTCTTAAAGTCATTGTATAACAAAAAATGTCAAATAGTTATAACTATAGCTGTATCATGCAGATAAAAATGCTAATTTATACACAATTGTTAAAAAAAGACCAAACCAATGCCTTCCAGTGACCACAAGAGGGTACCAAAGATAAAGAATAGACTCAAACACGACATTTAGAAAATCACAAATAGAAATTCTCCAAGTGTTACCGAATTGCATTTTTTTCTATAAAATACTACAAAGTTTTGCTTAAACAACTGCCTTAGCAACTCTTATTTTAATGTTACCATGATATATAAATTTTTAAAATAAAGGAAGTAAAAAATATTTTCTGTATTTCTCTTAAATAACGGAGCACATATTTAGGATTTATGCATCAGAGTTTTAAGACAATCCCAATATTACGACAGCCACACAGGGTACTGTGAAATTTCCTATGCAAATACGTCATCATGTTAGTGTAATAACCATTAGCTAAATAAGCACTACGTGTATATTTTGAAAAATCCTTCAAGAGACTGCATAGTAGTAGAAAAAGTAACATGAAGAGTAATAAATACCAACAGCTAAATTTCTATTTCAAATACATGTGGAATTTTTGTAAATTGGCACTGCAGTGGACATTGAAAGGACAGGATATAGTCCTGACTCTACCAATCCTGTCTAGACTTCTTCCTCTTCTGGTGGTGGGATTCACCCGCTGCCTGGAGTGGCAGCCCAGGGTGACATCACCTTCTCTGAGCCTCTGAAGGGCCAGATGCTAGGATATTCCAACCACATACTGTGTGTAGGAGTTTCCTGAGGCCCAAGAGATTGCTGATATCCAGAAACCCAAGTTGAGAATCTAAGTATAGCTTACACAGCAATGTCCCCCTCTGGGTGACTGCATCCAACCATTCCCAGTCACCCCAACCCATTCTCTACCAAGTCCCTCCTCCTCAATCTGCTGAAATATAGATGTTCCAAAAGGGCTCCTTCCAGGCTCAGTTGCACCAGCATAATTCACCACACCTCTCCCATTCCCAATGACCTCACCACTACCATGACCAGGTGATCAGATTCATAAGAACCAAAGGTTTCATATTTGTCTTTATAAGGATCTTCTACAAACTACACAGACAGAAAAACAAAGACAAATATATTTGTGAAGGATATGAAGAAATAACACACCAAAGAGGAAAGCCAAAGGGTAACAAGCATATGAAGAGTTTTTCAAGCTCGTAAGTAGTAAGAGAAAAGCAAATTAAAATATTATGATATCACATCATATCTATCAGATACTGGCAAGAGTTAGAAAGTTGAATGACACTACACGTTGAGTGCAAGTGGAGATACAAGAACCCTTAGGTACTATTGGTGGGACTGTAGCGG